AAGCAGACTATCTGCGTTTAATGTAAATATTTCCTGGTCTTGTTCATTGAATGAAATATAACGAGTTATGATAAACAGTAGAAAATGATAAATTCCCAAACTCCTTTTTTAATAATTTAATCCACTGTCAAAAATAATCCAATCTGTAGTTATCAGACTTCTAATGAAACTTGACAAGAAACTAACTCTGTTAGCTGTAGAAAGCAGCTTATATAATAAAAGAAAAAAAATGAAAATTATTTTTTTCCCAAAGATTTAAACTTTTTTTTATATCTCCTTCTTTGAGGGAAATATCAGAAACAGCAAAATATATATGAAGGGGATCTATTTCAAACAATATGTTATTAAATCTTCATAGGATTTACTAAATTATGTTTTAAATTGCCAAAAATTAACCATTCTGCTTTTAATTAACTAACTAATTTAAATTTTTATTTAAATTATATTAGAAAATATTGAATAATGTTACCAAAACCATACGATAAGAATAAAATGCAAGGTTATAGCTACCGAAATATTGCAAAATGTACTGTGTTTCTGGCTCTATGAGAACACTTGAAATTTAGGAATTTCTTACAGAAAAGCTTCGGTAATGATTTTGTGGTAAAATTGCAAACTTAACAATGAAACATGATATTATAATACGTGTGATAAAACTTGGTAATTTTAAGATGGTGCCTATGTTATTCCTAATAAATGTTATTCCTAGTAAAATTTTCGAAGTGGAAGTAGTTGTGTTTTTTTCATATTATACCCAATTGTATGGTAATAAGAAATTTACATTATTAAAATCTGAACTTTCGGTAAACAGTTACCATGTGCACGAAAAAAATTACCAAACTAAATGGTTTAAACACCGCATATTTTGGTTTTATTAACCAGAATTTACCGAAGAGCCTCGGTAATGATTTTGGTAAAATTGTAAACTTAAGAATAAAATATGATTTTGTAATACGTGGGACAAAACTTGGTAATTTTAACATGGTACCTTAGAGCATGACATAAAGAACCACTCATTCGGTTAAATTAAATTTTTTTTTTTTACTAATTGTATGGTAATGAGAAATTTACTTTATTAAAACCTAAACTTTCGGTAAACAGTTACCATGTGCACGAAAAAAAATACCAAACTAAATAGTTTAAACACCGCATATTTTGGTTTTATTAACCAGAATTATAATGTTGTTTCTTTCATCCATAAAAATTTATTATCATACAATAGTGTAAGTTCTCCGTGTACTTGTAAAAATATAGAAGATCTTTTCAAAAATTTATATTTTTCTCAAATAGAAAGTGTAAATAATAAAATATTTACATGCGCATGCATTTTAATTAAAATTCAAATTTTATTTTAATTTGATGGCGACGGAAAATACTGCACCACGTGTAACACGTTTAAGAAAATGATGAGGATGGATTGAATAAATAATCCTTATAATTATGTTCAGTGCTTTAGGACAAGGTTTTGGACATGTAAGACCATCTGCTCCTATCATCGGAGAACATAGGTCAAATGAAGGAAATCAATACATGCACAGATACATGTAGGGTCACGCATAAAGCGCTTTATCGGGAAAAAAAAATTCTGGTTCAGGTTTTTATAAAATATTCAAAGAGAAACATACATTTATGTATGAACTTCTATTTAACTTTTTTTCAAAGGAAAAGAGTTTGCTCTTTACTGACGACTTATAGTTGCATTCGATGAATAATCTGAGAGCAGTAGGGTAAAACCATATCTATTTTAAAAAATCAAAAATGGGAAATAAAATTAATAAAATAAGTGATTAATAAAATAAGCACGTGAGCTTTTACTGGAGAATATGAAACTTTTACGGAAAATAACGTACATAAAGATACATAAAATATATTCCAGTACTTTTTTTAAAAAAAAATATGAAATTAATTTTCATTTATTTTTAAACTTTGTGTTGCTTAAAGATATTTAAATTTTATTCTGCAGTTCAATAAGCTAAATCACATTACTTGACGAAGGGGAATCCCTGTTCCCGTTTATTACGTTTAAAAATCTCAATTTTTAGGGAATATTTTCAAAAATAGATATTGTACAAAATTTTGGCATATTCTTTCTTGCAATAAGAATTTACTTTTAGTAAGATAATATTTCGTAAAAATTTAAATATTTTCGGAAAATATATTTGACTGGTATAATACGGATACATTTCTTACGAAAACACCAAAAATATCCTAATTATATTTGTTACACTGAATACATTTTTGGATAAATGAGTCCTTTTTATAAATCTAAACAATATAAGAAATATTTGCATAAAATTTGGATTTTTTTTGTAGTGGAAATTTTAAGGAAAATGTTATCTCCGTGCTGAAGAGAATTTTTCCATGAATTTTTGAAAAGAATTACTTATATAAGCAAATAAATGTTTATAAAATTCTTAAAAATAATCTTATTCGATCCTGTGTAAAAACGAAAAAAAACTTTTTCGGAAATTTTAGAATCTGAGTTTTTTTTTTAATTATTAAACTGCAGGAATTTCGACAGAACTGTGAATACTAAGTAAAATTAACCTAATAAATTGTAGATAAAATTATTTGAATTTTAAAACTTCGTATTCATAAAAACATTTTCATGTTTACGTTCTGGCTGTAAACGTAGTCATAGTGTATTACGTAGCATAATATATTATCAATGCTTAAAACTGGAATTTACGAAAAAAATTATTGTTCAAAACATTTTCTTAAGTAATAATAATATAATAATAATATCTTTAGCATTTAAAGTTTATTTTGTGAAAATATAACAATGATTTTTTTCTATGGTAAAGATAAAATTACTCAAGGAAAATGCAATTTAAAAATATTTTATTAAAATAAATAAATTTGTCGTTAAATACATTATTTCGATTTAATTTTCAAAAGTCATAACAATGTGATAATGAAAGGCGATAATGAATGATTCTTAGAAAATTTAAGATTAATTAAAGAGCAAGCAAGAAAATTATAGACCATAATACCATAGCAAGAAAATTTACCATCAGACTATACATTTTTAAACCCCTTTATTTAATCCAAAAAATTAGCACATAAAAAAACTAAAAAAAATTTATGTTTTAAAATTAGTGATTAATGTTCTTTGAGATTGTGGAAGTATCTTAACAGTTATTTGATGAACAGTTGTTACTCATTTCTTACTTTTTTCTCACTCGAGTAATGAAATTCCAGATGGGACGAAGAAAAGAAGAAAAAGAAACTTGCCACAAATGAGAAAAATATACAGTTCTTCCAGAACGCTGTTTTTAACAGATCTCGATAATTCAGGGGATGAAATAAGTATTCTATTGTGCACCATTGAATATTTATAAATGTAATTGTTTCTTTTATCGCCGAGCAATAGTTAGCAGCAGTTTTCTTATGTGAAATCGTAATACGAAACAAATTCGAAACTCTTTGAGAATTTATAATAATTTGCCACTCTGAAATTACCTGCAAATACCCTATTGCGTATTTTCTTTTTTTTTAAAAAAGTAGGAAAAAAAACTAGATAATATAAGGACATTTGAAATTTGTGTTTATTTCTATTCTGGAAAAACTCTTTTCTTAGAATCCAAACTTCGATATTTTCTAATTTTGAAACTTTCGTTGTTTTGTAAATTATCATTCACCAAGTAAGTTCTGAATATAACGTGCAAGATGATCGATTGATTAAAATTTTGTATGTTATATGTGGGACATAACTGTAGCATGAATTATGGAAATTCAAAACTGATTCAAAACAGGCTACTTTAAATTTACTCTGCCAAAATGAAAGGGCAAAGTAGAAATATAAAAATAGGTAAGCACTAAAAAAAAGCGAACATGAAGTTCTCTGCGTCTGAAGAGGTTTGTAAATAAGCTTATCTACATGAGAAAGTGTGCCAATGTGCCATTCTATGCAGCATTTGTGCAATTCTTGTCTCCAGGCTTCAGGTGAAATTTTTTAGTAACTAATTAATTCTAATTAGTAACTTTTTAATTCTTTAGTAATGGCCATTAATATTTGGCAAATGAGGGAATACAGTATAATTAAATGATTTAGCTTGATTTTTGCATATTGTTCTTGCATATTGCTCATTAGATAAAATTTGTAACCTCTTTCAGAGGTTGCGTATGGGCAACCTCATATTCATACATTATTTTTGTTTGCTTTTGTATGCCTCATTTGCCCTTTTATTTCGAAGCACTGAAATTATTTTAAAGGAGAAATAATATGACAACTATTTTGTTTTTACTTAAAACAAAATAGTTATCTTATTGTTTAGGGATCTTATTCTTTAGGAAATTTTTACAACGCTAAACAAATTTCAATGAGATTTAAATAACTGGTTATAACATGAAAGAATGAATGCAACTTTGTTCTGTACATATTTTTGTTTTTGATGAGTCATAATATACAAAATCTGTATTTAATTGTTTGAAAATACTTCAATTTATAATTTAAAAAATTTTTCGCCTTGTTTACATTTTTTAATCTTTTAAGTAAATTGTTTTACATAATTGCTTGTTTAAAGCTGAAATGATTTAAAATGAATGTTATTTGTTTTATGCATAATGCAAAAAGCGCTAAACCATAAAAAAAGTCATGCATTTTCTCCAGCTGAAATATTTGAATAAGATTTTTCGTTACAATTTTTAACAAAATTTATTTGACTTTAATTCCGAATTCTCTTAAGCTATTGAAATTTCTAATGCTAACACTTTGTTAAATTCTGCATTATTGTTGTAAGATAATGTATTTTAGAAAAGTTATTTCCGTTACGTAAAAAATAATCACTGTATTCTAATTTAAAATTTAAATTACAATAATTCTTTATAAAAATTCTTTTTATGAACTGTTGAACACTGTTTTAATATATTGACAGAATCAAGAAATAAATAAATAAGTGCATATTATTTTATATCTATTTTCCCAAAAAAATAATAACGAAAACAAATTTAATTTTAAAATTTTATTTACAAATAACAGTTTTCACATTTAGCTGCACAAAATTTAATAAATAAATATTTATATCAAAGATAAAAGTACAGTAAATTTCATTCTGTGGACTAGCATTTCAGGAACATAAGCTCTGGGGTATTTTTCTCCACTCTAACTATTGACAGCTGGATCGTCCCAATGGATATCTCGTAAAAATTGGCCTTTTCAATCCTTCAAACAAGTATATTATCTGAAAATATAAAGCAAAGCATATTCAATTATTATGTATTACAGTTCATTGCATCCAGCCTTAAGCGTTCATTATTAATTAATATGTTAGCGCATGCATAAAATGATCAAACAAATGCTAAATTCAAGAACCGAATAACAATAATTTAAAGTAAAAGTTATTTATGTAAGAATATAGAACTGATTCTTGTGCCTAGCGTAAGGCTTGAGTGTTGACTTCATTTAAAACTAAAACTATTTATTGAAAGCTAACAGAACTTTTAGATGTCCCCAGGTTTTTTTAGAAGATTATAGAGGTATATTTTGCATGCAAAAAAAGTTTTTGACGAGGATGTATGCATAAGAATGTTGGTACTTCTGCGATTTTCAACTCGTTTCATAAGAACAAAACTTGATAAGCATGTTATAGTACTACATTCTAAATTTTTTATGATATTGTTTGACAGCACACCTTTAATAAATTAAAAAGATATCGTTACATAGAGTCACTTAGGACACTTTTCAATTTAAAATATCCTTATTTTCAACTGGTTTTAATCACTTAATCACTATGAAACTTGGGATTCGAGTTACTTTTGATATATACATACATAAAAATTTCTAAAACTTGCATAAAAAACATCGATATTTTCTAAATCATGTATTAGAATTCAGTATGTGGATTATATTAGTAGGTGAAATGGTAGTAACAGTATCTTTTTTTCATCATTTTTTTTTACCAAAACGCTTAGATATCAAGTTAGTTTGTAAACTAAACTATTATTTTTCTAATTCATGAAATTAATATAAGTTAAACGATAAATAAATTGGTTTTTACCATTAAAAAGTAAAAAAATAACTGCTATGTCTTTCAAAAACAAACTGAACTTGTTTACTGTTTATTCCTTCCATTGATAACAATGTTATGATTGACAAAAGATTTGCTATGATTTGTTACTATAAATTACATGTTTTCCAGAATAGGACATTTTCTGGAAGTTCAAATAAAACAAAGTATTGGGAAAATAGGTAAAACAGTATCGCCTATGAAGCAATGCTTGAATTACTAATCAATTCTGTAAATCAAGTTTAAAAAATCACGGAATTTATGACAACTTTTAATATTTCTAAGAAATCGAATAGAGTTTATTCTTATAAGGTTCTCTTACTCGAAAGCATCTCTAGTCTTCACACTCCCATTTCGATCATAAGAGTAACAAAATTTAATTTTGAGAAAAATTGTGGTTGCATCCGTAGCCCCAAACACGTGGACACGCAGACTTTTAAAAGTTGGAAAAAATCACGGGACAAATACAACAAATGAAGCTGCGAATCTATTGAGATTAAAGTTTAAATACGTTTAAAGGGAGACCTGTTTAAAATTAAGATTTGGGTGATTAAAGTTACGCAGTATATAGGTTGATGATGAAATTTTCTTAAATATAAGTAACAATGCATAAGCTTGCCTATAAGACATTTGCAAAGTTTAGATAATTAATATTTGATTTGATAACTAAATGAGACTAAAACATTGAAATCACCTTTAATTTGTCTCGTATATATATCATTCATTAAGAAAGAATGGAAACAGCATGTTCAACCCATCGTTTATTTGCTTCATATTTGCACTCTTCTAAAGATTTCCCTATAAAATATAATATATCTATAACAAACTACCATCACTATTTTAAAACGTTAAATTTGATATGCTTTTTCACAATTAGATTTATTGATTTTCAACATTTTACTTGCAGTATATAAACACATGTGGAGTGTTAGAGAGTGAAAACTCCACATGTGTTAAAGGAATGAAAAAATACTATAATGTTCATGGTGGTGACTACAGACAATTAAATCGCACTTATTTCCCTCTTCGACAGATGATCGACAGTCACTACTTTGACTCGTTCCACGGTTCCAACAGTTTAATGACTACAATGCCGTGATTTATCAAACAAATCCCCTTGGTCTTACCGTCAAAGCCAAAACTGCACTGAATTGTTGACTTAATTTACAGGCACGTAGCCTGTTGATCTCGTGGAACACTCGTGGCCGACAACAGATCAAACTTTCTCGATAACTGGAAGGGAAGTGTGAAGCGGCCTATATGGAAAGCTTCCTAGTTCAATCTGATCGGAAGTGCACACCCTTTAGTATGGTGGTTAGGTTAGACCAGTGTTCTCCAACCCCCGGTCCGCGGACCGGTACCGGTACGTGGATTAAATGGTACCGGACCACGCATTTCATTGAAGCTGAATTTAAATTTCTGGGTTTATACCCCAAATTAAAAATATTTGTGTTCCATTAAAATTTTATTTATTTGAAAAAATTGGCCCCCGAAGACAGTGACATAAATTTTTTAATGTTTTAAAAAGTAAAAAAAGGAAAACCACCGCTACTATTTTCTTTTTCAATTAGCTTTAGTAAAAACAAATCAATCATCATAACTGTAACTATCATAAATAAAACACGAAACCGCGGCTCGAAATTTACATTGGAACTAATGAAGAACTTAGTCTTCTTTTTCGATCGTGACTCATTGATTTAACGTTCTTGTAAGTTAAAATGTTAAATCACTTTATATTCATTTTTTGGCGTAACTGTATTTTATTTTGAAGGCATGTTTAAATACAATTAAATTAAAATTAATAAATCAAAATAATCTAAAATATAAACAATCAACGTCGTCGTCCCCAGCGGGCCATGGTAAAACTATCAAACATTGACAGGTCCGCGGTGATAAAAAAGGTTGGAGAACACTGGGTTAGAGTATCTTACTACGAATAGAAATATCATGTTTAACCCATCGTTTATTTTCTTCATATTTGACATTTTCTAAAGATATACCTATAAACTATAATATATATGTAGCAAATTATCATCATTGGCTTAAAACGTTAAATTTAATATGTTTTTCAAAACCAAATTAATCGATTTTCAACATCTTAAATGCAGTATATAAACACTTGAGGATTATTGGAGAGTGAATACCCCACATGTGTTGTAGTGTTGATTGAATTATAAAATAATACAGTGTTCATGGTGGTGACAACAGATAATAAACACGCACTTATTACTTATTTCACTCTTCGACAGATAATAGACAGACACTATTTCGACTCGTTTTACTGTTCTAACTCATTGATTTGGCAATGAAATCCCCTGGACTAAACGTCAAAGGCTAAACTGCACTGGATTGGCAGCATAACTTACAGCCACGTAGCCTGTTATTCAAGTGAAAACCTCCTGACTGACAACAGATCAATCGTTCTTTAACTGGAGAGGAAGTGCACAGAGGCCTATACTTAAAGCTTCCTAACTCACTCTGAACAGGAGTGTACACTCAAATAGTATGGTGGTTAGAGTATTTTAATACGACAGCAGAGATTTTTGGTTCAGTTCCCACTGGCGGCCTAAAATCATCTCCCTTACTCATCACTCCACACAAGCAGCATACAAGTATTTTAATTTTTATTTTACATTGTTTTGTAATCAAAAATAAGCTACATCATTATATTTATCAACCGGCAAGTATGGTGGTTAGATTATCTTACTACGACAGCAGAGATTTTTTTGTTCGTCCCTGCAGGTGGCCTAAAAACATTTCTCTCACTTAGCCCTAAGCACAAATAAAATACAGGTACTATTCTAATCTTTCTTTTACTTCATTTGTAATAATCGCTAAGTTGCATTATTATAATCAACCAGTCAGAATGACATTTCATAAACACGTCGGTCTAAAGGAGTAGATTGGCTTTAAAAATGGAAAAAAATAACGATTGCGAAAATGTTTTCGAATAAAAAATGAAACCGCTAGAACTTATGGAAGGTCATGAAAGTAAATAAAATACAAAAATATATTATAATATACTTATCTGATATATTTGACTCACTTTCAATGTGGTTTGGATTGATCATACCGAAACTTTTATCAACATAACTAAGTATATGGAAGAAAATACAAAAACTTAATTTATGAACGGGGGGTTTACTTATGCATTCTCTTATTCTTCTCATCGACTTATATTTTATTTGCTAAATATGCAGACTCTTACTCTTTTTATGCAACGTTTCTTTGCCATATTAAGCAGATTTTTACCCTGCAGATATTTTGCATCATGTTCTGAAATCAATTTTATTTACCTAGATAATAAACATCTATGACTTTACTTAGAAATATTTTCTTTTAAAGGAAATAAGCTCAATAAATATTTATTCATTTTATAATAAGTACTTTAGCTATAATTTATGAACACATTATACCCATTTTCCGAAAATAATTCCTTGATGCAGGCTTCCAACTTTATATTTCAAATAAAGTTACCCAGCTAATTTAAGTAAAGTAAGTGAAGTATTAATTAAGATAAAAATTGAGAATTTAAGCAAAAATACAATTATGTATATGTAATCTCTACTTATGCAAAGTATTCGAATAAAAATAAACACCCTAAATATAGTTTAATATTAAAAATTTTGATTTAAGAACTATTCAACTTATTTTGTTGACAATTTGTTTTTCACCATTTAAAGTTATATTCTTGAAAGTAATGTAAAAATGTGTACAACTCGCAATTCAATTTTTTTTCAATTATTATTAAATAAAATAAGAAATAATTATTGAAAAAATTTAGTAGAATCATGAAATACATGAATTTTATAATTTTATCGAAAAATTTTTAGATTCTCTTTAGAAGTTTTTGAGATATGGAGAGAAAAGCAAAAGGTAAAATTAATATTAAGGAAGGCGAAATGAATATCCTGACCAAATTAATAAGATCATATGTACCAGATTGAGACTAAGACTTATACTATGAGGTTAAAGAGTCCCAAATCCGTTGAAAAAGTGATATAATTATTCGCAGTTTTAAAAAATGTTTCACTAATTAATCCCCATTCTTTTGGGTTAAGAACTATAATCATTAAGATTGAATCTTAGTGCGTAAAAACTGACCTTTAAATTAAATGTCCTAAGCAACATTATAGTGAATTTAAGGAACATCAGCTTCAGTAACAACAATATAGAGCTATTTAAGAATACTTTCTTAACTTGGTTATTTTATTAAATCTTATTGAATGATCTGGCAGGAAAAAAAAATAATTTTACATATAGCCAAGTAAAACATATTTTAAAATCCAAACTTTCACAATTTTTCAAGCATTTCATTTCATACTTTTTCTCACTAAATTCTTCAAATATGATAATTATTTGATATTATCAATTCTTTTTTCATTTTAAATGCATGCATCCATGGTCATTGTGATTTAATTTAACTACCCTTTAATTATCGAGTTTTTTTTATTTATTTTTCGTTTTTTTTATTCTTATTGTTTTTCTTTTTTCCCTTTGTTTGCATTCCACTATAGGGATTTGCATTATGAATTTATTATTTATTTATTCCAATAATAATTTAAAAAATTCATGAAACTATCCCCTGTTCTATGTTGTAATTAATTTTGAATTTTAAAAAATCTATCAGAAATTATAAATTCTTTAGTTCCGATTAACTTACATATTCTATCGCATTCTGTTTCAGATTCTCTTGATTCTTCTTTCACAAAGAGATTTTCTTTTGTTTGTAAAATTTGACCATCATCGGACTCACCACTCGATGGACTATAAGAACAACGAATAACTTTAAGCGTCAAACAGCCATAATTGAACTTTCAGTTGCTAAGAAAGCAAAATTTTAATTAATTAGGCAGAGATTTTTTATCTCATATTTTAATTAGAATCTGATACTTACCTGTCATCTACACCTCTCCACGATAAACTTCTTCTTTGTCTTCTACTCTCTACAACTGATATTCTCGGGTGAAAATTAATATCTAAAATTAAAAGTTATTTTTAATAAAAAAAAATCCAGATTTGAATGAAATAAACTGTTAATTATAAGCTGAAACAATTTGTTAACATAAAAATAGATTATCAGATTACTGCATATAAGGAATACAAAGCCTCGCTATCCTGGACGCTAAAAAGAACAGTAATTTTTCAATGCAATTACGTTGATTGGTTGCATGGTCAAATAAAAATTTAATATTTTTTTAAGAGCAATTAGTTATTATCAATCTAATTTTTATAATAAATATAGCAAATTTCATTCATAAAAAGAGCAAATATTTACCGAAGATCTACATCCATAGCCACATTTAAAGTACATGTAAAACCAAGTTTATTTAGAAATAAATCATCGCGGTACAATTCGTTAAAATATAAAAAGTGTTTTAGTTAAAATATACTCTTTCACTATGAGTATTTTGGGATACATTTCCATCTCTATGTAAAGGATAGCATCAGTTAAAAATGCAATGTACGAAATATAACCTCAATCAAAACCTATATTTCTGAATTTAAAAATAACTTTCATTTAATAATATTTTTGCAGTTTCATATTAAGATAAAGTGTTTCTGATATGTTTACCTTTTGCATAAGGAGGACAATACAATATTGGTGAAGCATAAGTCTTCTCAGATTTTTCCATCTAAAATAAAAAAAGTTTTTTTTTAAATTTATTTTAGAAAAGAAGATATGTGAAAAAAAATTTAGAAATAGTCACATACTCGGTAATACCTTAATTTCTATTTAATGACAAAGATTTTTTTCTCAAATTTCTTCAGAGGAAAACTAATTATAGTTTAAAATACTTCTTCCAACAATAATTTAATTCCGATAAATTTCCAACAATAATTTAATAAAAGGAAATCCTATTGGATTATGTAATTTAATGATATTTTTTCGACCGAGTAAGGCAATATTGTTTAATCAATATAATTTAAAATGTTATGAGATCCCAAAGGAAATTAAGGAACATCACTCTCACATCTTCCTCCCTCTACATGCACTATGCAGTTTAATCAAAAACGAGTATATACTTTTTTAATTTTGAATATATGGGGCTTTCAAATTTGGAGCTATTTTAACACATTTTTGCTCAATTTTTATAAATCTCTTATAACAGAGTAAAAATAAACGGTGCTCTTATATGTTTAAATGGGGTTGCTCAATAGATTGAATGGATTCTCACTGATTGCTTTGGGAATTGGATATTACTAGTGATTTTCATTACACGTCAATATAATAATGCAAAATAGCATTAAGGCAGCCGTTAAGCATTCTTCCATAATAAATCGCAATAATTGCCCCCAAAATATTATTAGAAACATTGCACAGTACACCACAGCTAAAAACATTCTGGTTTGCCTTTCAGCGCTCTTTTTTGATCTCCTGTAGTTGTTTTTTATAATTATTTCATGTGCCCTACATCGAGATCGCTCGTCAACAAAGTTTTATATTACAAGCAAGATAATTGCTTGAAAAATTTTAAAAAATAAATATTATTATATATATTTGTCTTCGGATGGGAAAAATATAATCTGACAACGTTTGTAAAAAAAATATTCAAACATCTGATGTGCTGCCTTTTAGTCATAATAATAAAAAAAATAATGTAGAATGATGAAGAAAGAAAACCTGCTTAAAAATGTACATCTTTTTCTAATACTTGGCGACATTTACCGACTCAATGAAGTTTAAACTTGAATGGTTCGGTAGAATTTCTGTCAGCTTATTTGAAAAAAAAATCTAATTAAGGTCGAAAAAAATGGTTTTTAGTATAATAGCATAGAAAAGTATTTTTTCGTTTTTGTTTTATTTAATATCTACCTGAAATACGGCAAATTATTCAAAATTTAAAATTAAAACCCCCCTGTTACTGTTACTTTTTTTTTCTTTTATGCAACTATTTTGGCTATATTTTCCTCTTTAAAGTAACAGTTCTTAATTCGATATCTGAATCCAAGAAAAAAGGAGCATTTATTACGATACCGTTCATTATTGAACTAATTTTATGAATTGAATCATCAGGGCTATTACATAAGGTTAAGATATATTTAAGATTTAAGTTCTCCAACAATTAAGATTCAAAATTTTAAATGAATATTAGATAAACGAACTTCCTCTGCTAAAAATTTGGGAGCTTATCTTAGATAAGTATCTTAAGCATATATATATTATACCTTTCTAGGAGGATATGGAATATCATATGTGTATCCACTCCTAGTGCTACCAAATGTCCCCATATTCTGTTGACTACCCTTACAGGGATGAACACAGGATTCTCTGCTATAGCCTGTTACCCTGCTTGCTGCGTAAGGAGTTGGGAAATATGCTGGCTCTTGAGCAGTTTCATACGTAGATGATAATGGCAAAGATTCTGGTTTAATAGGATCACTTCCTTCTGCGACTAAAAAAAGATTTTAAACTTTGACAAAAATTATAAAATGTTATAAGAAATATCAGTTATTGCTTCTTTATAAATATAATAATAAGTGCTATTATTGGGAAGAAACGACTGTTATGGTTAATCAAAACTTTGCCAAGGAACCTTAATTAATAAATTAAGCAACATAGATAAAACAACAACCTTGAGTTCATAGTCTTAACATTCATTGCATTGCTTTATTTTAATAATATTTAATTAATGGTTGTTTATTTTAATAAAATTTCAATAATTAGTACTAGATTTGTTTATGCCTAAATATAAAATTTATCGTTTTGTTTGCGGCTTCGACACATACGCATTTCAACATTTTACATGCTTTCTAAACGTCGATGATAAAACAGTCACAGTGTTTGAATTTCCATTCTAAAATAACGGTAAAATAAGTGCCCTCTATTTGACCACCCAATTAACCAGGAAATCTACGTTTTGGAACTTTTCCTTATCTTCATGGGTTTGAAAACGTTTTACGACTAGCAGGCTTTCAAAACTGTAAAAATGAACTTTAACTGAACACTGGAAATGGGTTATGTTAGGCTTTTCGTTCGGTATTGAACGTTTGTGCTAGTCAAAATTGTGTTTTTTCAAGTGGAATGCGATATATGGCTTAATTAGTTTATCTAGTGGTGGCATCGATCATGAGATATACTATACTTTTTGTGTTAAGCAGGTCTATGGATGAATGAAAGTTACGTATTCCGATTGCCGAGGGTCACCACTCCAGGAATGCTGTATTCTGGAAACTTTCCATGTGTCGAACGAATGGCGGGACAGAAAGCCAAGTGATTGACAGATTAACTCTCATGGCTAAACTAAGTGAGTTCATAAGGTGTTCGCCACATTATTATTACTATAAGATTATTAAGCATCCACTGCTGTGTTACCCATCCAATGATGAAAAGCAAAATTATGAATTCGTGACCATTTTCTCATGACTTGTGTTCCACCTTTCGATGAACTTACCTTATATTCTCATTGGCTGCAAGGCGTAGTTAGCGTGGATAAAATTCTGGTTTTTTAACCGTATTATGTGAAGATAGTCAAAAATAGTTTTTTCTCAGTCAACAGTTTGTATACCATTTGTTGTAGTTATTTTTCTATTTCAGTTTAATATGGTAAAATAACACTTAATTAACTAGTTATTTTACTGGATTAAAATAACCCTTAATTAAATAGTTACTTGACCAGTTTTTCCAAATATTTTCCAACAATCCTGCTAAAATATACTCTATTTGTTGTCCAATAATACAATATCTTTAAAAGCTTGCAATTTTGAAAGCAGAAATTTTTTTAACTTCTGACATATTAAGGTTTATTTACTTTCTGACCAACTCATATCAATAAAGTCATTTAAAACTTTCCCTTAGCAAAATAATTAGGGAAAAACTAATAAGCACAATGTTTTGTTTTATTTTTTAATCAAGTAATACCGGCATAAGTTAAATGAGAAAAATGACCAGATAAGTAATAGTTAAACGAGTATACTACCCTCTTATATACTACTCTTTTGACATTACAGATCAGTAATTCAGCACTTATTTTTTACAAAGTGTTTATTAGCAACTTATTGTCTTATAATAGTTTTTATTTATCTCAGAAACTGAGTACTGGGAGTGTACTCCTTCATGCAGTTGTTTGTTATGGCATTGTTGTAACTTTTTTTACATCTGAGATAATCTGGATTTTTTAAATTTGATTTAGAAGATCTTGAATAGATATTTTTAGTGCTAGTTTCTTTTTTGCCGACATTCATTGACAACTTATTAGCAATCAGTGGGTTTAATGCTTGTTCTGTTTCTAATTCTGAAATTAATTGCAAATTAAATATTTTTATATAAAAGGTAAAGAACTTCCAAAGAGTTTTATCAATAAATATTCAGTGGAGATGGTACCAAATCAAACTACCACACTGCTTGACAAATTTGTTGTCTTTGAATCTCACTCAATGTCATGCAATAATGTTACGTGGACAAATGAACTGTATGTATTTAATTCGCATATTAACTAACCTTAAACTTGATAATATGATGTTGCTTGAACATTAACTTGGTTTCACCAAAAATATAATCAATGTTATATCAAATAAATATTGTTGCTAGATTTGGTATTAATATTACAGTTCAACAAACAACATGAAAGAAAGAAGCTACTGTATCAGGATTACAAATTTACTTAAGGTTTCATATCTTAAGACGATGTTCAATGTAGAACTGAAAAATCTAAATGTTCGCAATACAGTGATGCCTAAGTTACTTTGCATTTAATTAAAATATAATTTATTCACGGAAAGAGACCTTAAAATAAATTTTATCAGAACGTACCATCAGAGGACAAAGTTCTTCTGTCCGATGACCTACGCCTAGTTATGAAGTATACAACACACAGAACTACAATAAGGACGATTGCAGAACTCACAATTGGAACTGTAATTAAAAGGTGTTTGTAAAACAAGCTTCCAGCTTCACCCATTTCTGATGGTCTTGGAGGATATTCTACAAGAAACACATTTTCGATTAACATAACGTCAGAATTGCTTAATTTAAGTGACTTATCTAATTGGTAATTTAATAATGAAAATAAAATACGTTACTGTATAAATGGATTCCAATAACATGCATAATAGAAATAAGCATCGAATATGTAACTACGAAATTTGAAATATTAAATAACCGAATATAAATAAACGAATAAAAACTTTTAATTTATTTAAATTCAGAAGTATTCTGAATAATTGTTTAAAATATGCATAGGTCAGGCATATGATAAATTTCCTGAGTTGTATAGGAATATACAGTTGCAAACTCAATCGAGACATGTTAGAGGACATCAACCATCTCGAGAAAAATTGGCCATGAAGCTGCCACAACTGACAAAAAAGCAGGCTACAGCTTCAAATATTTGCTTTAAAACTTTTTTTTTAAATAAAATGTAGCGTAAACTCGTCTCTGTAAAATAAATTATTATTATTGCAACCTGTTTCACAACTTTCAGTCACTGATTGTCGGCGTGTAGCGCTTACGATCATATATCCCCACCTAATTCTTGCTTATTATCATGTTTCTAACCTACACGTAGAATTTTGCACAAAAGTTCTGAATGACTTTCCCAATACAAGAAATAAACAATGTTTCAAATTTTTACTGTAATTTTCCACTAAATTATTTTAATTTATTAAACCAACTTAAATAGTTAAGTAATTTAAAAATTAAAAATGCATCAAATTTATGTTTATCAATAAAACTCGTAAATGTAAATTTATAAATTACATATGAAATTTTTAAATATTACAAGCTGTTTCATACAAAAAAGTTTTTTGAGAAACGCAGCAACCTCTCTTTACATTTAACAATTATTTATTTAACGTTTTCTTATTGCATAAAAATTTAATTTTGTCAATTAATTATATTAAAATAGGTAATTTTGTTTTTTCTTATTTTATGGTAATTCTTTTTCTCTCTTTAGCACTAATATCTATGCTCAATTAATACGTGTAGATGTGCATCAATCAAATTCATGCATGTAAACAAATTATTTTAACGCTTAACTTATTATAAATTATATTGTATTTCAATTTTTCAATGTTAGTTAGTGGGACAATGATAATTTTAAAACTTATCTTACCTCCGCTTGCTGTCATTGTTGCAAAAATGTATTCAGCATCAGTGGAACCTGCATCATTTCTAGCTGTCATAAGCAATGTATACCAAGTTCCCGGAATCAAATCCATTATAGTTATATTCTGCTGCTCTGGTATAATATTGTTGCTCACCAATGTCCAATCCTGCTGACCATTTGCCTTGTATTGTACAATGAAAAATCGAATGGGACATCCACCGTTGTGCCAACTATTTAAATTTATGAAGAGTGTCGTGTAGTTTAGGTTTAAAAGTAGTCTCTTGTCCGCAGCTATAGGAGCTTTTAAAAATAAGATAAAAAATAATTAAAAATGCTATAACCTCTTAAATACTACAATGTAATAAGAAGCTGTTCAATTTACTGTAGAAAAAAACTGGCAGCAAGGGTGTCTGTATAAAAGCGTTTATTTCATAGAAAATACTGCTATTTTAAAACGAACGTCTGATTTTAAGCAGAAAAGTTGTGTAATTTTAACAAACAAGTGCTGTTATTTAAACAAAACAAAAAATAATTTTAAAAATAGCAATAATTTAAAAATAGCAAACAAAAAAAACTTTAAAAATAGCAATCTCAGAATTATGCGCTACGGATAGAACTCGCACGACTACTGAACTCCGGGATTCAAGCGCCGGTCACTTCATTGGGAAGCGAGCGCTCAACCGCCTGAGCCGCGACAGCTCTCATGTTTGGCTCAGACTCGTTTCATAGGAATTCTAACAATCTCTATTTTCGACTAGGTGATTGTTTTTTAAAATTTTGATGACATAAAATCCAAACAGAATTTTTAAACGACCATTTGAGAGCACCCTATTTATTTCACTTTGTAAACTAATACAGATAACCCATACTACTGTGTAAACTAATATAAATATGCACGCTATTTTATTGTCACGTTAAAGTGGTTTAATACAGATGACAAGATGAGTTTTAAATAATGAATTTATTAAAGTGAAGAAAGTGCAAACGACGAGAACCAGTCTGCACTAAGAACTCCCTGTTTACAATAAAGATATCGCTTATATACTAACAAAGAATGTTCTGGAAACTTCCTAGAAATAAATAAGGAGAAAATGACTTAAATTGAATGTACCAGAAGCTTCTGGAATGTTCAAAGAATTAAATAAGAAAAATTGGGAATTAGTGTCCGTGTCCCGTATCGAACCTGGGACCTTTTGCTTTGTAGATTCGAATTTTACCACACTATAATATTATATGAGCTACTGAGACTTAGACTGCTCGACAATGTATACACGAACTATTGTAGATAAATGCTTTTAGACACTTACCATTTCCATCAGTTTTAACAGAAATCGTTTCACTACTATTTCCCTTGCCAGCGCTGTTGAATGCAATAACGTAGCAGTAATATTTTGTACCACATTGAAGGTCTTGGAATAAATATTCTTTGTGGCCTCCTTTCAGCTTTATTTCCTGCCACATACTACCTTCCATTCGTTTATACAAAATATATCCTAAAACAATACATTTAGAACAGTGAACAGAAACATTTAATTACGTCTGATCAGAATTATAAAACATTAAAACATAACTTATCTGATATAACAACTAAATGTTAGCAATAACTATCAAATCTTTTACCTGAAACAGGAGCGTTCGAGGTTACGCTTATCTCCCATGATAGTTTTACTGTTTTGGAAGTTGTATAGTAAGATTTAATTGCCGGCATCCCAGGTGCATCTGTTAAATAAATAAATAAATTTTTAAAATTAAAGTGGAAAACAAATTCGAAATGTTTTTTAAGAATGAAATTTGCTGAGGTTGCCTCATTCATAAATTTTATTTTAGCCGTAAAATGTTATTCTGTAAATCTCACAGTAGTATTTTTTAAGATGTGGTGATAAAGTGGCTTTAAATTTAATACTTAATATATGATTTTAGTTTATTTTTCTGATTTTCCTGTAATCAGAAGATACTTTTCTCGCATGTACACAATGGAAAATTACTTGATCAAATTACTTCATAAAGAATAGCTACTTTGGGTGCATCATCCATAAAATCAATGTTTACTGTAAAATAAGATACTGTAATTTTTACAGTAATATTTACTTAATTAGAATGATTCAGCGATTTACGATAATTATTGCTGTAAAAATTACTGTACAGATACTTTGTTCCGTAACATGGTCCGATAAAGATAAAATTGACGGTAAAAAGTGTCGGCACTCTGAATAACGTTATTTTTTACTGACGGTAAAAAGTACCGGCACTCTGAATAACGTTACTCTTTACCAAAAACTACCGGTACTCTGAATAACGTTACTTTTTACCGAAATTCGATCCGGAATTTTTTACAGTGTAACCATATTGGAATAATTTTTTACATTCAATCAATGTTTCATGGGTTTTCATGTAAAAAATTATTTGCTGTGATGTGCCGCTTAACTACCTTTGGTTTATAGTAGAAATCAAGAGAAAAGTGTCCATAAAATAGAATTTTAAAATGAGCTTAAGTGTAAATGAAATAAATAATTATTAATGTTTCTTTATGGGGTGTATAATTTTAGGAATCAAATAAATATTTCAAGAGTTTGTGAAGGTAAATTCATAAATATTTAATGCAAAATTTTGTGAGTGTGTAACTTCAAATGCTTGAGTTTGCAATAGTAAGTTCAAGGATAATATAATGGTTATTCACTTGAGTTAAGTTTTTTTTACACTTAGAAAATACCAAAAATAATTCATCTAATTTATTTGCGTTTAAATAGAAAACTTTACAATTTCAAACTAATTACATCTATTCGTTTTTAAGTACGTAACTGAAAAATAGGTCAAAGCAAAAACATACATATGGATATTGCATGCCTCACAGATAAAAAGAAATTGTCGGATAATGTTATTTAACCCACTGATGGTTCTGCACGAAAAAAATCGTATTTTAACCAGCAGTCTTCCACGCATAGTGAAACCTGTTTTTCCATATTATTAGATAGAGAAATAGTGTATTGGAGGGAAACATTCTTCTAACTTTGCCCCTTCGTGGGTTTCGCACCTAAATATTTTTTTTTTCAAATTAAATTTAGTTTCTTCACTGCAATCAGTCCAAATAACCTATCTTAGAATTCAATTGAAACTTATAAAAAAATAAAATAAAATTTTCTTTTGAAATACAGAAAAACAAAGTAAACAAATAATAATAAAAGACTGAAGTCAAACAGCTCTTTACGTAACAGCAAAGGCTGACACAAATGATGTGGAAAAACTGAGAGAAATACAGAAAATGCGAACAAAATGAAAAATAAGCAAAAAATTGAGGAACTTTTTAATTCCAAAAGTTAAGTAATTTAACCTTTTGATATCGATTCCATCACTCACACTGAGAAAAAGGTATGATCAAAAATACCAGAATATGATAAAATGTACCATGTTTCTGGCTCTATGGAAACGCTAAAAATAGAACTGTAATTTTTAACGAAGAACTTTCTGCAAAATTAATGATAAAATATAGATTCGTTATTCTGCTGTTTGGTAGTAATTGTGGTAAAACTTCGTAATTTTACCATGGTACCTAAGAATAGGGCATAAAAATTCTGCTAAATTTACCTTAAGGTATTGTATTCTGTTGTTAATAAATGTAGGGTAATAAGAACTACAATTTTGAAAACCATCATGATTTTCAGTCAACCAGTAACATTCGAACAGAAAAAATTACCAAATTATTTTGGTTTCATTAACAGAATTATATTACCAGAATTTTTACTAGACATGTTATTACTCTACAAGTATGGTATTTTTACCAAATTTTTTCCGTGCAGTGATTTATTAAAGTGTGCTATTAATTCATCAGTCGCCACCCTCCGTTATACCATCGGATGAGAAAGGCAGATAATCAGCGACAAGTATGATGGATTGCCATCACTTCGATTTACACTAAAGTAAATAGCATAACCAACAATTAAAAAAGCACTGATCACCTCTTTCTAGCAAATATCAAGCAGGGAGCAAAGGAAGAGTGTTAACACATAATTTTAAATTTGTATTTAGTTTAGTTTATCAGCTATTCACTGTCAACGAGCCAAAAATAATCGGTCTACAACCTATGCATACATCCAAATGTGTTTTGAAGCTTTAATGGCCAGACCGTGTCATTGTCCTCAGTTTAATTAAACATAAAACTTAATTTTTGGTGGGAAAATGTATTTCAGTTGATATTTAAAACAAAAAGAAAAAATTTTGTTTTCTCTTAGATTTAAAAAATAATAATGTTAAAAAAATGTTTTATTAATAAACTTTAATTTTTTACTTTTGAATTAAATGTTTAGAGATATTAAGTCTGTCTTGGTGGTACTAAATGACACGAAACTGATGTTTTCTACAATGAATACCATGACTCAAGGTATTGTCCCATTTTAAAATATTTTTGTTCACAAACTCCTGTAGAACTTAAACTATGGTTTATTTCTAGTTAATTACTTTGGTATTTAAAAAAAAACTCAGTAAATTTGGTACTAAAAACATAATTTTAGAAATAATTTTAATTAGCATGACTATTTAAGATTAATGGTTTTCAAAACAAAATATGAAATAAAAACAAGATTTTTAAGAAATATTTTTTTAAATATATTTTTTTTAAATAAATTTTTTTAAAATACATTTTTTTAAATATATTTTTTAAATATACCTTTTTTAAATATATTTTTTCAAATATATTTTTTAAAACATTTACGCCCATCTTTCTTACCAACTTTTTTTAAGTGATTAAATACTGTAGTAACTCAAATAAATTGAATTTACTGATTGTGTAGAGCTGCTTTCTTTCATTTTTGAAAATAAATTTCATATTCTCTTTTCTGAAAAAATATGATTCAAAACTAAGTAAAAAAATTATATCATCTGAAGAAAATTTAATTTAAAATAAAGACTATACCAAACTAGTTTTCTTACAAAGTATCTATTCTTGCAAATTCTATTCCTTTCATTGCAATTGCCTAATTCCCCCTTAATAAGATTATTTCCTTTTTCATTCTCTCGAGCTAATTCATCATCTTTTTAATTAGCATCGCTCGAAGATTTAATTCCAACTTGTAATCTATTTTAATGGCTCGCCATTCACAGTTATCTCGCTTTCCAGGCGAGCTTGAAAATATCACATCAGTCGGCGTAATGCTGTGAACTTCTGGATTTATTAACCAAAAGTGATAAATGTGGCAGATCTCTGTGTTTCTGTCCCCATCATTTACTACTTTAGGGAGGGTCCGCATGGATATCCTTCAGTAATGTGAAAAGGTTCATTATGCAGAGATCCAAATCAGAAGCCTATGCAGAGAATGCTGGGAAATTGATTCGACCTGGGAATTATGAATGAAATGGTTAGAGAAATGTTGCAATTAAAATTACCGGGAAAAGGAAAATTTATTCATTTAGGGTCAAATAAGTTTGGAAATGGTTTTATGCATTTTTTCGACCTGGTTGATATTTTTTCAGCATTTAAAGATGATGCTTTTGTTTGATGATGTCAGCTGTTTTTTTCCCTCTAAATCTAGAGGAAGTGTTTTTGCTCAATTGCATCTTTCTTTGCTTAGATTTTATGTTAAAAGATAATTAATATATAGAATTTGGGAATAGGAAGATTGAAAAAATTTTGTAATTCGAGTACACTGCGTAATAAAGTAATTTTATGCATTTTTTTAAAATAATTATCCGTTCTGAGAATGATGTTATTAATTTGTTGTCCCGGTTGTAGTTTTTGTAAGCTCAGTAAAAACTTTAATTTCTTTTACAATGATCTGACACGCAGCAATAAAATTGAAAAGTGAATGTTTCAATTAAACCTACCAGTTTTGAAAAGTTTATTCATATAAAATCAAACCAGCCCAAACCTTATCCAAAACGGATTCTTATACGGATACAACATACTGCAAATTTAATTTATTTTTAAGATATCTTGCACAGTATTACTTTTTCTCCATATTTCACCTGATACTAGTCATTTAATTACTTTTATAAATAACTAATTGTGAAAATTACTAAAAAGAGCCTAATGTTTATTGGTTTATGGGTAAAAATTTTCAATTAGGATCTTACTTGTTGAATTTAAGATAAATTTTTACCCTCCAAGCGTTGATCCATTGAGTGGGAGAAATTATACTGACATTTTACTGCTCCGCATAAAATAGGAGAAACGGATTTTTTGATGCAGGGAAGCTTGCAGATAAAAGTTTGGTAAAAGCTGGAGTTATTACTCAGAGGGTTAAATTTACCTTCATTCTAATTTATGATTAAGTTGTAGAGATTTTTATATATTTTGATAAATACTTTATTTCATCTGTGAGTTTGAAAGGGAACATTAACTGAAATAATTACTTCAACAACTTAAACATTTCCAGAAAAATATCTTTAAAAAATGTAAGAATAAAGCTTAAAAAAATCAATATTTACTTTTAATGTTTTTTTAATACTGGTGAGTCGGGCACCCAAGGCTGGGCTGTTGGCAGATATTTCATATATGGTACATTAAAACTATTAGTTAATTTTTATAATTATATTTTAATTCTATTTTATTATTTTTTAAATTTTTTTTTCAAAAAAGAGCATTCCTGTGTTGCCTTTTTTTTAAGCTTTTTGCATCGAAAGTTTAGAACTTTCGAAACATTGAACTGTGAAACAGTCCTGTATGTGTACACATGATCCTGATTTTTCCTGATTTGGTTGTTTGACTGCTTTCTTCAGTTCAATATCTTCAAACAACAAAAATTGGTGGAAATTCCCCATATGAATATTATTAATTCTAATTTGTTTGTGTCTGCCTGACTGCCTTCCATAATTTAATAAATTCAGACATCCAAATCTGTTCTCATAGACTATATAATTTTTCTTTTTTTTCATTGAATCCATCAGTTGAAGTGCATGCAACTATAAAGAAACATTTTTTTTTCTAGAAAATACCTAAATTTTAATACTGCCATATAAGATTAAATTATTAATTAAAATTCTAATTGAAAATCACTTCAATGTTACGAGATATCCATGCAGTAGTAATAATAAATAAAACTCACCAAATTCCATTGTTCTAATTTCTTTTTCTTCTGAGGGAGGACCAGCTCCCCTACTATTGAACGGTTGAACAATGATGATATATTCTGTATTTCTATTCAAATTGTAAAGAACATAGTGTTGCGTGATGTCTTCTGTCATCACCACTGATTTAAAAGTGTAGGTTTCAGAGCTTCCTTTAGTTTTGAAGCCGACGTAAAAACCGTCTACACTTCCTCCTCCATCAGATCGAATTGGCCTCTAAAACATTTTTAAATGAATTAATATATTTTACAATAAATTAGAAATTAGAAAAAATAAATAATAAGATAAATCTTGTGTTTTGCAACTAGCTTAGAGTAACATGCAGCCTGTAAATAAGTCCTCTTTTATTGATTTAACATCTTTTATTCACATGAAGTTGTAATTTTTAAAAAAAAAAAACAGATTTTCTTAACATATGATATATAATGAAGGTAACTCTGATATATTTGCTCAAATTTTCTCTTTCTTTAAAAATCATAATTTTTCGTTAAATCATTGATGAGCTAAGATAAGTAAATGAGTCGAAACGTAATTTCATTCTTAAATTAGTAACTGAAAAATACTTTACATTGCTCCAGAATTTTATGCTCTAATATTCATAGAATGTTTGATTATTTTGAATAAAAACAAATCCTAAAATACAACAGAGCTAATGCTAATAAAGCCAATGACTTTACTGACAGTATTAACAGTAAAAACCTAACTTTTGCATTTGGTTTCAGTGTACAAAATATCCAACTAAGTTAAGAATTGATAATTTCGAGATTGTGAATGGTTGAGATATTAGCAGTAGCAGTTTTTCATTTTTTCGATATTTCAATGGAGAATTCCACTAAATATTCTAGTATTTAACGTTGCGTCGTAAACCCTTCTAGAAGTGTAATAATTTTTTGCTGCATTTCATAAACTGTAAAAGGAACCGCTAAGATTTCTTAACTAGCAAGCAGACGCAAACGAATAGCAGTTCTCTTTGAATTGTAACGCATGGTACCAATACATGAGCATAGCTTCCAAATTTTCATAGTAAGATGATTTTGATGGAATACATTTTGAAATATACTAGAATATTCTAATATGGTTACTTTATATTTGAACTCTCTAGAATTATATTTGGTATCATTATGAATGCTATGGAATGCGACATCCATGAATAAAGTGAAAAATTCATGCATTCAAAATAATATTTTAATAAACTATAAATATGTAAAGTACTAAAACAGAAAAACACAGATACCAGATGTCAAAAATTAGATACTCTGTCTTCCCACATTTTTTATGGTATCATCTTCCATTTTAAACTTTATTTTTATAAATTTGCTTTACATTTTGCATACTTTACGAATATGATGACCTCTGATAAAATCAGTCAATCTCGTTAAAATTAGTCAATTTCTTTTAATTAGGACCTTTACTTTTTTCATTAGATACATTTAAGAAAAGCAATGTTTTTAACAAGATAATTGTGAATTGAATAACTAAGTAAGTAAAATGTCCAATAAAAATAGTTTTGATCTTACTTGCCAAGAAACATTGACAGCTCGTGAGGAAACGGGTATAGCTTTAACTCCTATAGTAGCTTCCCTTGGTGCTGTAAAATAAAATTTTAACTGTAACTTCAGCAGCTTTCAGCAGATTTGCTTAAAAAACATCGATTTACTGATTATTCAAATTATACTGATGAATAAATTATCTTACCAGTAAAATATACTACTCTCAAACATCTCTATATCAAACGAAAGCGAATAATTTGCATTTTTTTGCACGGTCTCTAGACTTCTGTGCAAAAATGTCGAAAATTTGAAGAGACGTAGTCGCACCAATTCGTCAAGGAATATTTCATAGAAGATAGAAAATTTGCAAGTTGGATTTTTTATAAAACTGCAGCAATTCTTTCGGGCTTAGAGTTACATGTTTTTTTTTTAACATTTCAATTTCTTGTGCTTTGAGCTTCAGTACATTTTCCACAGTAATATTGTGGCACAGACAAAAAAATTTGTATTTTTAAATCTGTTGATAGTCTTCAATGACTCAGAAATTGCATTCAATGAAACATTAAAAAATATCTGCTATTTAAAAAAAATTATGATTTATTGAACAAGTAGAAATGCAGTAGTATTCTTAATGAAAATATCTTTATCAGTATTTTTAACGAAATATTAGCATCGATTTTTTTTTTGTTGGGGGAGCAAATATTTAAAATTTATCTCTTCCGTTGGAAAAAATGCATGCAATTTGAATATTTCGAACTTCCCAAGTTAAATAAATTGTTATCTTAACATAATATCCGAATGAAATTACGTTACAATATCAGGAATAAAAAAGGATTATTATTATTTTAGTTTGAACAATACTGTTATCTCACTTGACACCAAAGAAGTGAAATGTGGCACTTAACAATAATAAAAAAGTGACATTTAAATATAATGAGTTAAAAAATATCAGGTATAAAAAAGGCTGTTATCATTATTTTAGTAGGAACTATATTCTTATCTCACTTGACATCAAAGAAGTAAAAAGTGTCACTTAACAAATGGAAAAACTCCTATATCCTTTCCTTTTATCTTCCAACAGTTGCATTTGTTTATACCCGTGACATATAATCATTACTATTTTCTGTGAAAGGTTATCCTTCTTCACTGCCTTCTATCTAACAAGCTAAAAATGTTTTATGACGTTTACAATAATTTATTGGTATCAAAGTAAAATAGCAATTGGAAATTCGATCGATGATTTATAAAATTAGATTTGAAATTTTTAAAAATACGGTAATATTTTTATGTCACAAAAAATATTAAAAAAAAGTTACGACAAACAATTTTTTAAAAAAATATTCGTCTTATAGGTATATAAATGGATATTTTTTATAAATAAATTTCAAAATTGGCCGTAGAATTAATATTTCAGAGTAGATTAGAGTAGATTGGCCATAAAAATAGCGAGCGTGTAATTTATTGTACAGATTGAACAATATTCTTATTGTATTTTTAGAGATCATCTCTCTTGTTCACTTCATAGAAAAAAGTCGTATAGAAAAGTGCTCGTCTGCGCAGGACCACAAATGCCTGACGACGTTATTTTCTTTAATTTTTTAGCATAATTCTTTCACCTGTACTTACGTCAGGATCTTTTGATAAGTTACTGTTTTTAATGATTATTATACAATAGTTGTTGAATAAACCTTTGCTAGTTTTTTGCTTATGGATATAATCATTTTTATTAGGACAGTGTCATACAATTATGCTTAGTCTTTACCCTTTTGAAAAGAAGTTTTGGAAGGTTATGTTTGTACAGAAAAATCCGAATTCTAAATTCGACATACGCTTCAAATTCTCAATGATGACAATTTTGTCCACAGATTACGCCCATTACGTAATAGCTTAAGAAAAGGCGGTCATGTCACTCTTCATTCAAATGAATAAAGAGTAACAGGGCCGCCTTTTATTAACCTATTAATCATTACCTTTTACTGCCTTTTATTAACCTATTATTACATCTTGAGTTCTCTATAAAATATAGAGAATTCAAGATGTTTCAATTTAAGATGTTTCATTACTGAGCTCTAACGTCAAAATGTTTGAATAGTTTTCTCGAAACTTTTATTATAGGGTTATTCATTATCAATGGAAAAATTTTAGTTTTGAAAGTTCAAAAATATTTAACAGCTGTTTTTTTGGAGAAATATTAAGGGAATTAGAAAAAACAAAACACAATTTTGGTCAGTATATTGGAAAGAACGGTTCAGTTTGGACGCTCTATTGGGCATTAAAATAATATTTCTTCAATGGAACAGCATATGGGACTTCATGTATGGGTTGTTGTAATTGAAAAGTAACCTTAACAGAGGTCGTACTAAAAAAAGCCCACACTGTATTGTTTAATCAGTTATCCAAATTCTTGTTGTAACAATTCTGCATTCATAATTAATTCTTATTTATTTTCGAATATATTGCATGCATTTTCGATTTAATTCTAAATTATTTTAGTAAAAAATGCATTGATATATTTATTGTTTTTTTTTATTTAATATGCGTAAATAAAATGAATTGAAATGCTATATACCTACGTTCTTCCAGAGTTGTTATGGCAACTTCAGCTCCATATTGACTATCTCCTAAAGCATTTTCGCACTTTACTCGGAAAAAATAGCGAGTTTTTGGGTTTAGACCTCTTATGATAACAGCTGTTTCATCCCCTGGCACAGTTAATGGTTCTGCTGAGATTTGTTCTGAAAATTTTAATTAGAGGATTAAATTTTCAAAAAAAAATATGCCTAAGAAGTTAAATATATTACATACATTAAACTTATATTAACAATAAATATATATTAAAATTATTCTTATGTTTAAAAAATAAAGTTTTATTTCATTTTTGCTTAAATCACAAATGTAATCAAAATTAATATCATTAGTTTTACTTAAATATTAGAATTCAAAAATTTATTTCATTTTTGCAGCATATGCTTGCGGAAGAGTACCTCAATTAAAATAAGAAAGAAATATTATTTTTAATAAGTTATAAGTGAATTTGTGTCAAATTCATAAATTTAAGAAGTATTTCCTGGAAACAGACAAAAATTAAAAATTGTTTCATGAAAGTAAATCGAAATATTATTTAGAATAATTATGAATTAGCTAATGCAATTGTTGGATTGTAAAAAGTATTGTTGTATTAAACATATATTAATTTCAAAAGAAAATTACATTTGTAAGTTTGTTTGTTTTGCTGCTAATTTTTAAAAAATTTTAATAGGTTTTTTTTTAATATTTAAGTATTTTTTTATTCATATAAGTAATTTTAAGTATTTAAATATTTATTTTCTTAATTCATAAAAGTTATTTCTATTAAAGTATTTATTTTTAAGCTATTTTTAGTATTTAATTTTTATTTAATTAATATTATAATGTAAAATATTTAATACTATCAAGCTATAAAAATACCTGATCATCGATGCGTATATTTTAAACAGTATACTTTAAAAATATTAGTTTATATTAAATAGTCATAGAATAGTGTAAGTTTGTCTGTAGAAAAATATACATAATTAACATTTTATGTTCGTTACTTGCCTGAAATATTTCAGCAACATAAAATATTCTGTTCTTACGGAGAATGCCATTTCAGTTATTTTTAAAACTAAACAATATAGTGATTTTAAATGTATGACAGATCTTATTAAAATTTATGAGACGCATAACTAAGAAATTTTCTTTATATACTTTGTCCAAAACTCTTGTCCAATTTTATGAAACATGAAATAGGGGGTGAATTCCGGTGCAACATCTCATATATGCAAATAGGAAATCTATGGTAATTTCTTATTGGCTTGTAAATCCTGTATCCACATATTTTTTTAGCAATTTCAAAATTTTTTGATTCTTAAGAAAGAATGCTATCCGCTATTTTATTACTCTAGATTGCCTCTTCATTTTTTTTATTCATGTTTATCTCCAAAGTTTGAGATGAAACTCGATTCCCAAAATAATGCAATGATTTTTATTCAAGGAGATATTGATCCGTGAGTGGCGTTGTTTTCGGAAAGATTTCAAAGAAAAACCACATTTGCAAAAGTCATTTATCATTTTGTATCATTATCAAAAAGCGCTCTTCTTGAAATTCTAAACATGTTCGCTCGCGATTTGCATAATTATTCTTTTCGATTGCTTATTCAGCAACATGATCTTCTTGATTGTCGAAAACATAACGGGAATTTGAAGTAAGCTCTAATCATTAGAAAAAAATAGAAAAATAAACATCAATTCCTGAAAACTGCTGAATAGTCTTGTTTAATCAATTAAAAGATTCATTGTATCAAGTGATTGATGCGTATAGAGCAATTAAAGACAAAATATATTTATATTCAGTAATTAGTTAGAAATATAAAATAAAGGAAAGTAATGATTAACAATGATTCGAAAGTCATTAACGAATTCTTTATGTATGTTTTTATTGCATTTCAATATTGCAACTGGTGTTTTAGAGCAAAAATTAGCGATTATCTTATATCTGAGAAGCATTACAGAAAAAATGCATTATGCACAAACAAAAGTAGTCAATTATTTTGATTTAAACTACAAATAAGTATCATAATTAGTACCAAGAGAAAATTAAGTCTCAGCATTATTAATCATACTTGTTTATAATATAGTATCAGCTTTATGGTTTTATTAACTAGTTTTATTATTAGCAAATATTTTTGTCTTAATAATTCAAAATATTTATTTAGTAAGCTCTAGTAGTTAGGAGAAAGAGGAAAAATGAACACCAATTCCTAAAAACTATAATGTATGAAAAATAATAAAATTATAAAAAATATAAAAAAGTCTTTTGTTAATTCATTGAAAAATTTATTGTATCTAGTGATTGATACATATAGAACAATAAAATCTAATCAAACTGCTTTATATTTGCTAAAATAAATAAATTAAAAATAATTGCAACCATCAAATAAATAAAAGTAATGATTAATAATGATTAGAAAGTAATTAACGATTTCCTTGTACATATTTTAATGATATTTAAATTTTACGAATGTTGATTTACTTACAGATGATGTGCAAACAAAAGTAATCAAATTTGTTGATTTAAACTATAAATAAGTATCATCATTAGTGCCAAAGGAGAAATTACGCCTTGGCGAAATTTTGTTATACTTGTTTTTAATCTAGTGTCAGCTGCAGAGATTCAACTAGTTTTATTTTGTAAAGTAAAGTAGCAATAACATCAATATCTCCCAAATTTGAAATATTAACTTCACACTGTAAAAAGTAAATACTAACATTTCATGAACTTTCCTTTGTTTCTGACAAAACCGTTTGCTGGTATTCTATCCGAGCACAAATTTCGTCAAAGTGACATAATAACAATCGTCACTTTTTTGAGAAAGAAAATTTAGTCAAAGTTAAAAAAGTATCTCGTCATTTTATTTTATATTCCAAAAAAAAAAACGACTTATGTATCTAGCTTTTCTAATAACAACTTTATCGTGGGCACCAGCTAAGTGGATCAATGTCGTACAAAAAAACACAAGAAAGACTTATATAACACAAAGATAAATTACACGTCATCTGCAGCGGTATTCGAACCTGTAACCTTCAAGGTACAAAGTCAACTCCTTGACTATCATACAGTGCGGTCAGTTTATTTTGATCGCCTAGTCTTTTTTCTGACTAATAATCTCCCACATATCACTTTGATGACGTTCGGTAATTGAGGAAACATTTTCATCATATATTTGAGAGCTCGCGTTTTGTCATAAACCTCGTGATTTCATGACGAAACATTTCTCAAAATTAGTTAAATTTAGCTGAAGAATTGCTGAATTGTCAAATGTGAAAGTTTTATTCCTGAGAGGGTATTACTTGCTGATTCCAAATATTTAAATTGGTTATATATTATTATAAAAATAATTTAAAACTTTTTTTTAAGAATTTCAAAGAGCAGAGACATATAAACGAAGTAACGTTAAATCATTAATAAATTATGAATTGTGAGGTTAAATATTATTTTACTTTCGCAAACTAGTAAACTCTACACTTACCATCTACTTTTCTCCAAGCAGAAGAATAACGTAAAATCGGGGAATTCCCATCAAATGGACGATTCCATGTCAGTCTAACTGATCTACTGCTAACGTCATGTATTTCAAGATTTTGTGGAGCGTCTGGAACATCTATATAAACATCAAGATTTTTTTCATTGTTCATTCAAACGCTTTCGTTCATTACTTATAAAATAGAAAACGTTAAAAAAAAGACCCAAACAATCTAATTGAAATTTTTTAAAATAAAATTCCAGATACTTTTTAACACAAGTGCAAAAATAAATGCTTCCTTAAAAAAATACATAAATAATTTTATTGCTCTGAAAATTAGTATAAATGCTTAACTATTTGAAGCAAAACAGTGCTAATAACCTGAAAATATAAGCAACATAATCAAACATTACTAACTGTTTATTTAGTTTTAACTCAACTTCATGTTTACAGAGAGTAACCATTTACAGATGTTATAGAGATAGAACAAAATATTCCCTAGTATAAGTAAAGTGGTGGATGTTATGGCTGATAAACTTTTAAAGTATCCATATTAAATATAATATTTTATATATATATATACCAAAGAA